CACAGCTCACAGCAACCTCCAACTCTTGGGCTTCAAGCGATTCTCTTGCCTCAGCCTCCTAAGTAGCTGGGACTACAGGCACCTGCCACAACGCCCGGCTATTTTTTTGTTGTTATTGTTGCAGTTGTCACTATTGTTTAGCTGGCCCAGGCTGGGTTTGAACCTGCCAACCACTGTGCTACAGGTGCTGAGCCTATTTTTTCTATTTTTAGCAGAGACAGGGTCTTGCTCTTGCTCAGGCTGGTCTTAAACTCCTGAGCCAAGCAATCCTCCTGCCTCAGCCTCCCAAAATGCTAGGATTACAGGTATGAGCCACCACCCAACCTGTTTTATTTAGCTTTTAAAAGAACCATCTCATTCTGATGACTGCTATTATTTGTTATCTATTTAATTCATTTCTACTCTTATCTTTATTGCCTTCATTCTTTGTGAGGGCGCTCTTATTTGTTAAGTTGGAGTCTTAGTAATTGGTTTTTAACTTTTTTCTTTACAAAAATAGTCATTTAATTCTATAAATACTCGTTTAAGTATAAGTTTAGCTGCATTACATAGATTTGCTATTTTCTATTTTAAGTTCAGATTATTATGAGGGTATAAATGATTATGTTACAATGTTTTCACTTGTTAGGTAAGGTCCCTGTTGCAGTTGTGCCCCTCACCCAAGAGGTGTGCCTGTTAGGTGAGAGCACACCAGCTATTTTCTATTTTCATCGATACTTAGTTCTAAATACTTTCTGACACCCATAACATGAGTGTCAGAAAATATTTAATTTGATAATTTTTAGAATTTGGGCACATATATACTTATACATTGTTAATATATTATTGAACATACTCCTACAATATGTACTAAGTATGAGCATGTTTTACTTTTTAATTAATTTGTTTTTAACGTATTAGATTATACTCAGAGAACATGGTTTGTTAAAAAAAAAAAAGTTGACTTTTTTGGATGCTATCTATCACCCTCCTCATTTGCCATAAACTTTTCTTTTTTTCTTTTTTTTTTGCAGTTTTTGGCTGGAACTGGGTTTGATACCGCCACCTCTGGCATATGGGACCAGCGCCCTACTCCTTTGAGCCACAGGCATTGCCCCTGCCTTTTTTTTTTTTTGAGACAGTATCTCAAGCTGTTGCCCTGGGTAGAGTGCCATGGTGTCATAGCTCACAGCAACTTCCAACTTCTAGGCTCAAGCGATCCTCTTGCCTCAGTTTTCCTATTTTAGTAGAGATGGGGTCTTGCTTTTGCTCAGGCTGGTCTCAAACTCTTGAGGTCAAGTAATCCACCTGCCTCGGCCTCCCAGAGTAATAGGATTACAGGCATGAGCTACTGCGCCTGGCTAACAAACTTTTCTTTCCCTCAAAAAAAAAGTTGAGTTTAATAATCAATACCCAGGCTTGGCGCCTGTGGCTCAAGCAGCTAGGGCGCCAGCCACATACACCTAAGGTGGCAGGTTCGAATCCCC